AAAGTTCATGCAGGAGGCCAGTTTATTCCCAATAATAAGATTATTTATTGTCGACTGTAGTTTAATCCTGAAGGGAACCGGTTCAAGAATCAGAGCTAATTTGTTACACTTATCTTCCCATTAGTTTCCGTTTGGAGCCACTACTGTAGTGTTTTACCTCTGCTCACTATGTTGCCATCACAGTAACTAATCATGGATGTATGTGCGTTCTACGTGCCTGACTGTGTAGCAGGCTGATATTGAAACAAAAATATCACAGGAAATGCCGAACTTATTAATTAAATTAAATTTCAGTGATCTCACAGTTCAAATATTTTCATTAAAAATGTTGTAGTACTTTATATTATATGTTTTTAAATTCTCCACGTACCACCAGTGGTACACGTACCATAGTTTGAGAACTAGTGGCTTTAAGCATAAAATACAAAACACTTGAAGAACAATTTGAAAAACGTTTAGCGTTACATATGTTTTTGCTGCAGTAGCCAATCTTCCATGGTCACCAAAACGTTGTTTAGAGATAACCTCAGGGCCGTCAGAAATACTGTAGAATACAGTAAAAAGAAAACTCTTTAATGTTGTGTAGGAGGCACCATTAGTTTGATTGAACAAATTCTAAAAAGAGAGGGGTTAGATGCTGATAAAATAGCACTGACAAATTTAGACTTCTTGCCACCACCGCTACACTGTCATCGTATTTATCTGCAACTCAACAATCTAGAAAGAATTTTGAAATCATATAGCCTCATCCAGTTGTATTTAACCTAAAGTGAAAAAAAAAGAAAATCAGCTTATTGGTAGTTTTCAGCAACACACACACTTCCTCCCCCCATTCAGCTCCCCCACCTAGTGCAGTACATTTTCATATTCCACCATACTTACTGTTCATGCCACGGACAGTAAGAGTAATGGCGTGTAATGGGTTTCTCTACGAGGTACACTGAAAGCTAAATGAACTGTCAATTTTTATTATTTATTATTCAGTACTTAAAGTTTTGCCTCATTAAAGAGCGGCCCCCCTGGGCTGCAGAATTGTTCAAAATCTACTTTCATCTGTGGATGTCTTTTACCCCCCATCAGCTCACAATGATGCCGCTAGAGCCACAGGCACAATTTACACTCCTTGTTTTTTGTCCATTTTTATCATGCATTCACTTGTGGTTGCTTTTTAATCATTAAGTAGCATAGGGTAGCAGGGTGATTAAGCAAAAAAGAGACAGCTGTTGTGTCGATGAGCGTTGTAAAACCGTGATGGAAAAACTATTGACCTCAGCCAACTTTATCATTCACAAATCCAGCTGACATGTTTTGAGGTTCCATACTTGTCTACTTATAAGGTTTTAGGAACATCCTGTCCTAGAGGTTTTTGTTTAACCACCATTATTTTATGTATTGTATGCTACAATTGCATCTTAATATTTATTTAACAACCTGATTTGGAAGAAAGATTTTGCTGCCACAGTGGATTATGATGGTGCAGTGCTGTTGTTCTGTTGTTCCACAAATAAATAAATGTATAATTTAAGATATCACAATACCAATTTTATAAATGATCAGCAATAGTCATCAGTATAACTGCATTTGTAGATAGTAGAGAAGAAACTGCAACTACAAGCTACATTTGGAGCCCTTGTAGTTACTTATTTTAGTCAAATATTATATAGTAAAATACCAATGAACTTGATATTTATCATGTTAATCAGTAGTATATCCCTTTATTTGGCAGAACAGGCTACAATAAACATACAGTATTATTTCATTTTGTGTAATGGAAGCTTATTGTCCCAACATTTCTTCCTTTTTTATTCAGATGATGTGAGATGTCTTGTGACAGCATATTAATTCATGACCCTGACCTGCACCTTACTTTACCCAGCACAAATATTTCATACCCACAACACTGCACTGCTTCGTCCACAAATTTGAAAAAGGCATTTGTACAATGAATTTTTGGCAAACAAATCCAGGAGTCCGGTAATGGCTTTCTACTCCTCGTGGGACAGCCAAGTGTACAAAAAGCTGCTGATCGCCTGGAAAATACTGGGCTCACTAAAATATAAATTACACTAGCCGAGTACTTTAAATGTCTTTATGCAAGGGTTATGCATTTCAGCAGTCATTTGCATTTGTATTCAGAGGATTTTTTTTCTTGTTGGTTGTTTGCTGTGGTTGCCATTTGGCCTCCGTAGAGACTCCAGTGGATTTTTGCCTCAGTGTTGTTAATTCCAGGTGAGCAGACAGCCATTATGTGAAATTAATAGGAATTAAGGGAAACCAGCATGTTAGGTGAAAGGTGGGATAATTCATTAGCGTCTCTCATGGTTGCCTGTTGTGTGTGTCATGTGTTTCTGTGTGTGTGAATGTTTGTGATAATAAATATATAACCAGACTTTTAAATATGCTTTCACTACAGTGTTTTTTTTTCCCTTCTTCAAGATCTCCGCTTTAACGTTGCCTTGCAAAAAAATCATGCTCCTTGTTGCTGAGCAAAATTAATGCTCAAATGCAGCACTTAATTAACATCAGTCTGCAGAGGGCATTTATTGTGAAAAGTATCCCCCATCACTGAGAACATTGATTGCTACATGCTCCTGTGAGACGCACTAGTCTTCCAGGCATCTCTAATCATTGTTCGACACCTTGAAAGACAGACGCCCCTGTTCAAAGTTAAAGACTGGCCTGTGTCAGGTGCTAAAAAAAACATGTGACCTCATCCATTCCTCGCTCAGCTCCCCCTGGAGGTAGTAGCTCTAATTCCACCATTCTTACTCCCATTTCCCCTTAGTCTGCTAATGATGATGAGACCCACTCTCTGCTCTCGCTCTCCCACTTGTCCCTTAAGGCTGAGCGATGGTATTTGGGATCGGACACTGTTTAGTTATTGGCCAACAATGGAGAATGTCTTTTAATAACACACCTACTACAGATTAGGTGGTAATTGCAGCCTTAATCAATAAGCTAGCTGAGCGGAAAATTAAAGGTATGTGAAGCCCGACCCCTCCCAAAACCCTCAACACACACAACACGTTTTTTGGTATTAGGCCCATTGTTCAGATGTGGCCTAGTGAGAACGCTGGAGGGCGAAAGCACAGGGCTAGGAGCGAGGAGGGACCTGACAGTGATAAATAGGCCTTTTAATAACAGCTGTGCCACTTGGGTAGCCATTCTGATCCATTCCCATCCAAGCCGGTCCCATCGTCCTCCCCTCCCTCCCCCTACAATGAGAGAGCAAATTTACATATTGCTGTGATGACTTGGTAGTTCATACTGGATTGTAAATGAAATACAATGCACACATGTATGTGCGGATTACATAAAGACATACATCTTCTAAACAGTGTGCTCAGTAAAATTCTTGCCGTTCATTTTTGTTGGTTTGAAGCCTAAAAAACAAGGGGACATAATCAAAAGACGCATACGCACATAGACACTCAAACACACACACACGCACACAGTTTAACAGATGGTTTGGTTAACTGAAACATCAATTATTGCATTGCCTTGGCAAGCGTCTGAGAGGCTCCAGAGTGTGTGTGCACGTGTTAGTCCTGTAGGATATGAGTGTTTGGTGAGCTGTTGACCTGGAGGAGAAAAGGGTTAATGCTACACTCCTTCAGAACAAGCCCATAGGGCATTGGTCCTCATCGGCAACAGATTTCAGCACAGCATGCTCACATTTTTGGGAACACTGTGGACTAATTCTGACGTCATTTAAATAAACATTTCTGTGTGTGTATTATGCAAAAATGTAGTGCATAGTCAAATTGCAGATCTGTTTTATGTTAAGTTTGATTGTGTTTTTACTCTGTTAACTTTCTTGTACAGTGTCTTGTACAAGTAATTTCTTTACGATGAAACTGTTTTGATTTGATTGAGTTCCAGTATGTGTAATAATCACTTCAAACCACTGTTTCTCTCAACTGTTTCTAACTTTCTTTTCCCTTTTTAGTACTGCAACACAATGAATGAACAACGCATGAATGGACTGCTGCCGGACCCTCTACAGATTTTTCCACGAGGTACAGAGTGACATGTTACAGTTTATCATGAATGATAATGCTTTAGGCTCAATATGTTTTTATTATTACTATATATAGATATAAATATATATAAACATATGCGAAATGTTTTCAAATTTCAACAGAAAGTTGGGTAAATCACTTGTTCAGACAATAAGAAAATGGTAGCATTTGGTGGCTGGATGTATCAGTGCAGCCTCTGGACAACATTAAAATTCATTGGCTCATTCTGTTATTGTGTTGACAGTCATTTATAAATCTACATTTCTTTTGCTCCAAGGACATTGAAACTATGAGCTTGTGTTCAGGCTAAGCTTTGCCCAGATCTATGGCATTGTGTAGTTCCTTCCTGAACTGGTTTTCACAATGAGTGCTTTTTCAATACATACCTTTTTGTTTAATATATATATACATATAGTTTTTTCACCACTCAAAGTCATACATAGTCACTAACAGGCCCCATGGGCAAAGTGATGAAACATTTTACTGTCTCTCTCTCTCTTTTCTCTCTCTTACTCTCTATTTGGCTCTTTCTTTCTGTCTTTTTTTCTCTCGCTCTGTGATTCTGTTTTTCCTTCCTTCCTTCCTACCTACCACCATCTGTCTCAAGAGCCCAACATCTCAATCACTCTCTTGTCTACAACTAATTTCAGAGTAACCCTCATTTCATTTCATCTTTTTTTTTCTTTATAAAGAACTGATTCCTTTTCAGCACATTTGTAAATGGCCCAGTGATGTGTTCTACAATCTAGTCAATTACTGTTTCAGCCGGCAAGACTCCAGGGATCCGGAACATACATGGCCTGAAGGTACCTATCTCAATAATTGTTTCAGCTGCCTTACACAGAGAACAAGAGGAGCGGAGGGGAGGGAGGGAAGTTGAGGCAAATAGATTGGTAACGCTGTGTTCCACTTATTGAAATGTCAATTGAAGTCAAGGCTCTCCTTTTCTTTCACTCATTTTCTTGCTGCCCTCTTCCATGTTTATGTATGGAGCAGGTGGGCTGTTGCTGTCGCAGGGCTTGTGCCTCCTTCTCTATCTCCCTATATTCTTGTGTTATTATGCTGCAATATTCATTTAAGAGTAAGGTGTTATGTTGAAACCTTGATCTCCCTTTCAGAGTATTATGATCCTCTCATTCCATATGATAGAATGAAAGAACAGCTTTGGTTAGAACAAAAACTAAGTCAGTAAGAAGATGTCATTATTCGACCATGAAATTGTCATTACAAGCCCCCCTTTGCCATTTAGAAATGGCCTTCCACAGACCTTCCCATGTTAGGCATATGTTGCTATTGAAACTCATTGCTAATTACCATGGGTTAAATGACTTGACACCTCCTTCATTTCTCCAGATGATCCATATTATATCCATCTTCATTTCAATAATAAATTTACCCCCCCCCTCCCATACTGAAAATGCTTTATTTAATGTATCCTCTGAGGAGCTTTGGTAACGACTACTGAACTGTCATTTTTTTTTAAGGTCAAGGGTCTGTTTTGAGAAGATGATGTTTTCCAAAAACCTTTAGTCCTTTGGTAATCTTTCCCCTCTTTTCTCCTGTTTTAATATAAAAGTAATTGGCTGAGGGAAGTCATGTTCACTGTGTAAATTAGGTCTTCCTAGGCACTAATTAAAGAGAGAAACCCTGTGCTTTAGTGGACCCAACACATCGGCCTTTTGCCCTCAATTAAGAAACTTATTTTTAGTATCCCCTTTACAGGGTCTTGTCTCTTATTTTGTGTATGATATCTGGGTTGAGTAAAGAGGTCTTTGGAGTAAACATAGATGCAGATGAATAGATCAACAATGTCCCTAGTGAGGCATGACATTTTTAATGTCTTGACTTAATTTACTCCTTTACTCAAATCTGTTTCTCATTTCCTCTTGTGTTAAGCCATATTGCTGTACTTTCACGCAAATATATTTCTGGCTCTCCTCTCCTTTTCTCCCTTTTTCCTTCTGCTGTCTGTCATTCTTTCCCCTCCTCTATGTGGACACCTCTTTCTTTCTTCTTTGCCTGCCTCCCTTCTCTCCTACGAAAGCCAATTAACCTTCAGGCTGAACTGAGAGCTTGTTTTGTTCTTGTTCATTAGAGGGTCTGGCCATATGTCTGTCTGTCTGCCTGTCTTTTGGCCTTGACCACTAAGTGTGTGTCTGTGTGTGCATGTGTGCGTGTGTGTGTGTCCTTTCACATTTGTGTGTATCCGTTTGCAAACCTTCAGGTTAATACAAGACCTAATCCAGCCAATGACTGCACTCATGCTGTCCCAGACTCCATGGCCAACAACAGGTGAGCTTGCTGGGGCACAAGGAGCATGTTTCACTACTTGGAATGAACTTCAGTTTGAGATACTTACATCAGTGCAACTGTGCTGTGTTACTTCCTCCAGTTTAAAAAAATCATCTGCTGAGCTGAAGAGGATCCTGACAAATGGGCAGGTCGAGCGTGTCTTTTTAGTTTAAGTTATGCATTGCGACCGCTGCCCTCTACCTCAACTGGTTACCGGCCTCTCCAACCTAGTCGCTGGGGAAAAACTTTTTAAGCTCCACCAGTGGCTGGCTCCTTTATTGATTTTCTGTGATTAAAGGCATGTTATTCAGAATGTGTATTTGGCTATTGTCTTGTCACTGTGCCGCACTGGCAAGCAGGGGGTCTGTGGGTTCCTGAGAGCAGGCCTGTTACAGTCCCTCTCTTTTAAGTATGGACTCTCATACACACACACTAACACACACACAGAGTGGGTAACGTGTCAAGAAGACAATTAAGCCAGCGGCCTCTCAGGTTTCTGCTGTAACACAGTGAACTAATAGAGCTGTTCTTTCCCTTCTCCTCCATCCTTTCATCCATCTCCTCTCATTCTCTTTACTTCCCTTCTCTCACCATGTTATCTAATCAGTTGAGGTGAATTGGAGGTGAAACGTGTGTGTGTTGTGTGCATGCACGCTTACATGTATGTCGGGATGCCTGCTATTTCTGTCTGTGCAAAATTAGTTTTGTCACCCCCACAGTTGATGCCATATCAGCCACAGTACAAATAGGCATCTGTCCACACAAACCGGATTATTGACAGGACACCGTTAACATGCTTCCTCACTGAGCACCACACACACACACACACACACACACACACACACACAAATGGTTCATACACATGTTGAATGAAGTGCTCCAATTCAGCATGGACTGGAGAAATACTCAATTAGAGAATTATTCACCGTATGTTTTAAATTCTGTCCGTTTCGGGTACAGATATAAACCATGGATTCATTCCTTTTATATTCTGTATGTATAAATTAAGAGTTTAGATATTGTGTATAATACGTTTTTCAGTTTTAAGATTACGTTTTTGTATCGTAGTAGTCGATATGTTCATTTGAATGTAAAAAAGAAATTTAAATTTAAATATGGAACAAATATATTTATATATACTTGTGACACTTTTTATTTTGAATTATGATATTAACAGAAGAGATTCATAGTAGCAGTTCATGATATTTTGCGAAAATATATACATGAAATGAATTTGTAATGACTTACATGAAGATAAGGATGTTGGTTACAGTTCATTTTTATAATTATCCACACAATATTATCAAATAGGCAGTACATTACCCTACTCCACCTTTATTGATTTTACAAATCTATTGCTGTTTTCTTCCATGCTGAGTACTTATTATTTGAGATATATTCCCAGTGCTCTAACTAAATCAAAACTACGAAATTATCTTACAGGAGAATTTTGACTGGTAGTTTCAAAAAGGGTGAGAAGATAAAATATTTGTCAGGCTACATTATATTACCCACCTCTGACACTATTTTTATCAACATATATTGCAACGACAACAGCAAACAAATCGTCATTAAACTTTACATCAGTCATTCCCTCACTCACCCAAACACAATGTCCTTTTATAAATTGGACAGCAAATGTTGTATTGATCTCCTGTTCTCCTCCTTCTGTCCCTCTGTTTTCTCTCCTTATGTTACTGAACTTGAAGTGACCTGAATGCTTGTCTTGTTTATAGCCTCTGGTGACAATGTAGTCTCTCTCTCTCTCTCTC